AGCACCACAGTCTATGTCCGTATACCACTGAATATCTTCTTTGCATTCTTTGGCTCTTCATTGTGTTGATTTAGGCTTTTTGTCCAGTTAGAATTTATTAGTTTGAGAAATAAAGGACACTTCAAGTTCAGGCTATTACTTGAACGCTAATAATCTCAGTTCCCTGCTCGTAACTCTCGTGATTATCTAGGCATTGATCTGCCAAACATTCACAACATTAAACTTTGCAGTTTTAATCCTGTATGGAATAAACCACTGTATCACTGCTATCACTAAACTTTTAATGATTGCCATGTTATATGTATTTGCATATTAGTTCCTGACAAAATCTTTGCATCAGTATCATTCAGTATATTTTCAAAATGATTTTCCAGATTTGTTTGTTCAGCTAAACAGTTGTTCCTGCAGTATGGTCTTGGTTATTGTTATTAACATGATCTTTGTCTTTCAGCGAATCTTGAGCTGTCAGAAAGCTGGATCAGTCCTGAGGGATGGAAGGGACAGGGTTGTGACCATGACAACTGATTTGAAGTCCAGAATGTTAGCATGTCATGTGAGTCCCATCTTGTCTGTGCTCTCCAGGACTTTAATCAGACAGAAATACATTCTTCATTTCCTTACATCAGCTAAAGCCAATTTGCGGACTCAAAAAGTTTTTGTCCTATGGTTTTTATTCATTTCAGTCAGCTTCAAACATCCATTAGCTTTTCCTTTTGCCATTTCCAACCCCAGAGTGTTTGTGAAGGCAGAGTTTCACAGGGCGTGCACTGAGAGGATGGGGTCTTCTGTCATTACAGGGAACTGATGCAATTCTGGAAGTGTTCCATGTCCTGTCAGAAGCCGAGGTTAAACGGCGACTAGAGAAGAGAATGAAGAAGGCAAAGAAAAGAGCTAAGTGAGTTGCAGTGAAACCAGTAGGCTGTATTTTAAAACCCTCCCCTTTTCTGGATCTTCAAGATTAAAATGCATCAAGCTCAATGCTTGCAGATCCCTTATGTATGCAGTGCCTATAGAAAGTGGACACACGATTTCTAAAGTAATACATTTTGTGACCTAAAAGCCTGAAATCGAGGCCCATTAAATCAGAATTTATTTGATCTTTGTTAGCCACTTTGCAAGCTGAGCTGGAGTGGTTCTGTAAGTAGGGAAGTGCAAACACGGCCCTATCTAGGTGTGGAAGTAGGGAGCTGCATCAGCATGTGTAGCCTGCGAAGCAACAAGTAAAGGTTCTGAAGAAGGCTCCACAGTCGAAACATCACCTTTACCTGTCCCATTGCAAATCTAGTGTGCTGAGTTGGTACAGACCTATCCAAAAAGAATAAACGGCTGTAATTCACACAAAAGGTGCATCAACCAAGTACTTTCTGTATGCGCTGTATAGACAGTTACACACTCTGTACCCCGTGTTCAAAACCTAGGCTCAAGGAGTGGAAAAACAAGGGACCTTGCGCTTGAGTTCTTGTCCATGTCTTTCGAATAAAACAACCCTGATGTCCACACTGGCCTAAAAGCCAGCCCCCCGGTGTCGTGTTTAGTGGAGTACTGCAGCAGGTGTGCAGGGCAGATCTGGGGAATGCAGCGAGCAGTGGCTCTGACACTGGACTGGTTTCAGGTCTCGGGACGGGAAGGAAACTGCCGAGGAGCTGGTGGAGAGGAAGCTGGAGGATGAGATCCAGAGACTGACCCACATTAAGGCCTCTGCCAAAATCAGGTCAGTCCAAAGGCTGGGAAGAAACACTTCTCCTACTCGTATTGCTCAACGGTTATTCGTTTGGATTAAGCAGCACTTGAATTAATCACCAAAGTGATTATCCTATAAATGTTATTCCTCTCTCCTTTTCGAATATGCAACAGGATATCTGGACTCCAGAAAA